TGAGTAAAAAATTTCCTTTATTGCTAAAGCTAATTTGTTTTAGATTTTGTGTTTCTTGTACCTGTAACGTTCTAATTGATGTATTCCTGCACCTGTACCTTTGCCTCATCACTCTCTTCAGCCAAGCTAGTTGCCATTCCACTCATCTAGGTCCTACTGTAGTTTCATCACCCTGTATCCTCCTGCACCAGCTAAGCTCATAGGGCTCTCTCCCTCCTGTACCACTTATTTGCACAATATTCACTTAGCCCTTGGATACTTTTATGTGAAAACATGCACACATACATGTCCAGACACTCAGGTGTATGTTTTATCTCCTATTCTAGATTATAAGACCTTTGAAAATGTAGCTTCTAAATGCTTAACATTAAATGGGATGCAATGCTCTATGAACATTTTTTGAATAACAATTAAACTTTTTCATCATGCCCCATTTTCTGTAGTTCTGATCACAATACTTGTCATATATCAGAGTTCTATCAGTCGTCACATTTTACTTAGCTGCCCCATCATCTTGGTATTTCCCTTGATTCCTCTCAAGTAAGAGTGATCCCTTTATATAGCTATAGTATCATCACAGTTATCACACTATTGCTTTTGTTTATTTTTGAAGCTCTTTCCCTGCTAGATTGTAGGGACAGAGCATATTTTTCCTTTGTTGTTTCCCCAGCACCTTATTAGACACACAGACTCCACAGATATGTATTTCTAGTTCTTACAGTGGCATTAAAATCTCTCTACAATTCCAGCTGATACAGTAATTCTTCCATTTTGGGCACACATGTCATAGAGAACAGGCCAAGTGGTAAAACAGGGCTAAGCTGTACATTTTTTTCATGCATTCACAAACAAAGCATATTGGTTCAAATATAATCTTATCAGAAAATTTTTTATGTCAAAGTTTAGTGCTAGAAAATGATTTCTATTTCTGGGTGACAACCTATACTCACGCCACTTTCCTCACTGTGATAAAATGAATTGTATTGAATCTGAACATAAAGTAGAAGAGAAGCAGGTATTATTGAATTCTGTTACAGCACCATGACCCTTTGATAAATACTGAGTTTACCCGGTGTGATGGCTGGAATGGTAAATGCCTTGAGTGGCTGCCCTAGGAGATAACATATCATTAAAGAAGCACAGTGGCTAAAAAGCTCAGCCTCCTGGTCAGCCTTGTATCTTTTTCTCTTTCCCAGAGTTCTTGACCTTTCATGGATTTGTATTTATCTGAGCCCCATTTCCCAGGTTTCTTGGTTTTTAATGGATCCTTCACATCTGCCCCTTTGCTCAAACTAAAATACTTTTTTTCTAAATGCTACCATCGTCATCAGCCACATGATGTTTTATCTAGTCTCCTTGGACTGTCATTCAGAAGCCATTATAATATTTTTTCCTAAATCACAAAAAATTTTTTTTTCTGGTTATGGAAACATCATCATGACTATCCATGATACTTGTCATGCAGGGCAAGATATTTATTGGTGCAATACATTAAAACCTTTACAATGTGCATTCAGGATCAACAGATCCTTGGCAGTTAGGGAAAATATTGAGGAATCCTTCTTTGATGTCACAGGCAACACATTTCCCACTTCAGGATAAGTAAGAAAAATAGAGAAAAACATTCCACCTATGGTACGCTTGGGAAAGCTAAGAAACATTTTTAAGAGCACTTATACTGTACTCTGTTGAAGTTATAGCAGCAATTTAAATATAGGGCACGTTGCTAAGATGTGATTCATGGACCAGCAGCCTCAGGATCATTTAGGAAGTCAGTAGAAATGCAGATTCCCAGGCCCCATTGTAGCTTCCTGAGACAGAATTCACATGTCCTCAGACAACTCCTATTAAGGTAATGTTTAAAAAACACTAACTGTAAGTACAAACTCTTAAACACCAAAACATTTTGATTGCTATTGTTGACAGATTTTTAATTTTTATACTGTACTAAGCTTTCTGCCATGAAAATCCACAGTAGATAATTTTCCAAAAGATAAATAAAATATAGTCTCAGTCAACCTAATGCTCACAGACTTATAAGGACAACAAACTTGTATGAGAGCTCATAAATGAATGTGGTCAACTCAATATAATAAACCAGGAGAATATTCAGTCAGATATAATATTCCCACTTGACTGCCTCCCAAGGATGCTGTAATTTTCAACTCTGTAATTTATGGAACACAGTAAGTAATATGTATTGAGAAAGAGCTGTGAAACCAACATTCTTGCAAATCATGTTTTGATGAGGATTTCCTTCAGCAAATATTTTCTCCATTATAAAAATTTCAACAGCATGCTCATATCAACCATAATTACCAGAGACCTTGTAATTACGGATGTGATTTCCGAGCAATCCACTGTAGGCGATGGGCTGCATTCACAGAAGGGTGCAAATGTTTGCAGGAACCAAGGGACACAGTATACACAAACACAAGAACCAATAGAATTCTATTGACCAACTGGCCTATCCAGAAATAAAAATATGTTTACTGGTCTTGTTTTCAAGCCATATTTAAGTTTCTATATAGAAAACCTGCAGTATTTATCTAAAATATAGAATAATTTTGTTATCTCAGTACATGTACTTCAGATCCGACCTTTCACTACTGAAATACAAAGCTGGCATTAATTTTACATAGCAATTTGATACAAGTATTTCAGCATCATACAAAGTATGTACTAAGTGCCCTTTAAAGTAGGTGTGATGTCTCTGAAAAAGGAGATCAAGGAGGATATAAGAAAATGGAAAGACATCCCTTATTCCTGGGTAGGAAGAACCAATACAGTGAAAATGGCCATACTTCCAAAACTACTATATAGATTTAATGCATTGCCAATTGAAATTCCAACAATATACTTCACAGAACTAGAGAAAACAATCCAAAAATTCATTTGGAACCAGAAGAGACCTAGAATAGCAAAAGCAATTCCAGGCAACAGAGACATGGCTGGGGGTATCACAATCCCCAACTTGAAACTATACTACAAAGCTACTGTGATAAAAACAGCATGGTACTGGCAAAGAAACAGACCCAAGGATCAGTGGAATAGATTAGAAGGTGAAGAAACAGCTCCAGACATACTCAGCCACCTCATCTTTGACAAAGGAGTCAACCACCCTCATTGGAGGAAAGATAGCCTATTTAATAAATGGAGTTGGAAAAACTGGATTTCAACCTGCCAAAGATTAAATCTAGACCCATACCTATCACCATGCACTAAATTAAGATAGAAGTGGATTAAAGATCTAAATATTGGGGGGGGGATTTAGCTCAGTGGTTCCAGCGCCTGCTTCGCAAGCACAAGGTCCCGAGTTTGAGCCCCGGTACCAGAAAAAAAAAAAAAAAATCTAAATATTAAGACAGAAACACTAAAATTTCTGGAAGATAAGTTAGGTAGAACTCTTGAAGACATTGGCAGAGGAAAAGACTTCATGAACAAAACTTCAGTAGCACAGGAACTAGCACAAAGAATCAATAACTGGATCTCATCTTATTAAAAAGCTTCTGCATTGCAAGAGAAATCACCAACAGAGCTAAGAGACAACCTACAATGTGGGAAAAATTTTTTAGCAGCTGTACCTCAGACAAAGGTCTACTATCTAGAATATATAAAGAACTGAAAAAAATCAGACCCTCCAAATTCAAAGACCCAATTCAAAAATGGGCATCCGAAATGAACAGACATTTCTCAGACAAAGAAGTAAAAGCAGCAAATAAATATATGAAAAAATGTTCAACATCTCTAGTCATTCGAGAGATGTAGATGAAAACAACACTGAGATTCCACCTTACCCCAGAAAGAATGGCTACTACCAAGAAATCAACCAATAACAAACGCTGGCTGGGGTGTGGAGAGAAAGGAACCCTTCTCCATTGTTGGTGGGAGAGCAGACTGGTGTAACCACTGTGGAAATCAGTATGGAGGTACCTCAAAGAACTAGGACCAGAGGTCCCATTTGACCCAGCTATTCTCCTTCTGGGTATCTTCCCCAAAGAATTAAAAGAATCATACCACAACGATATATTTGTACCCATGTTTATAGCAGCACAGTTCGTAATAGCTAAAGCTTGGAAACAGCCCAAGTGCCCAAGTTTCCAGTTGGAAACTGGATAAAGAAGATGTGTGTGTATTTTTTAAATAAAATGGAGTACTACTCAGCTATAAAGAATGAGAAAGTAGAGACATTTATAGCTAAATGGATGCATATTGAGGCCATACTCTCAAGTGAAATAAATAGGACACACATGTGTAAATACCAAATAGTTTCTCTAGTGTGAGAAACTGAAAGTGTAAATAAGGATTAAAATGAATAATTCATAATTTGAAATAGGAAAAGATCCAAAGGTGTAGGGGTTGTGGGAGGGGAAAGAAAAGAAGCGAAAGGAAAAATTATGAGAAAAGAAAAAAAATGGAAATGAAATTTATGTAAATAGGGAAGAGTGGAGGGGGTGAATGGTGCACAGGTCATGGGGAAAAAAATAAGAACTAAGATACATCATGTAAAGGTACAAGCACCCAATGATAAAAGTAAACGTACTGTATACCTAAAATGTACCAATAAAAGAATAAAAAAATAAAGTAGGTGCGATGTACAAGTGATGTAGAAAAATAACCCTACCCACAAGACATGAACTTATAATGTAATATTTATCTTTACCTAGTCTAGTCTAGGTCAAGTAATATGAGGTCAAGTTTCCCAGCAGAATTTATGTATGTGCCAATATTTTCTTTGAGATATGTTGAGAAACAAATTATAGCAAGAAAAATTAGATATGCATTTCTATTCTATTAATAATTTAAAAAATATTTAAATCCTTCTCTCTCATCTCCAAATGCTCTTAAATGGCCTAAAAAGTTATAGCAATGGTATTACTGAGGCCCCTAAAACAACTCAGGAGACTAAGAACAGAGTGAGGCAGCTGTATACAGCAACAAGCTAAGCAATAAGCAAATAAGCACGTTAGTTGATTAATAATAATAATTTCCAAACTGACCAACAACTTGGTGTGTATTCCTCACCAGAGGGTATGTTGCACTGTGAGTCTGCAGGCTTAGTGTAGTTTAAGGCCACAGAAGTTCTGGCTGTTGGAGAGCAGTTGGGAAAGGCAGGAGGGGTCAAGTAACAGTCTTGGAACTTCTAGCTTGGTATGGTGCTAACACTGGTCAGACTAATGACTTTCACTGGTAAGACCTCTTCAGTTTGCTGTAGGTCATCTGGAGTTCTTTAACGAGCACAGTGATGAGCCAGGGTTCTTGCTATGACTGATGATTAATGAAGCATTTTGGAGGACTGAGGTTTTTAGACACACTGGCTGATAATGTATCTGTTAAATATGCAACCATAGAGCAATCACCAGATTCTTCCAGAAGAAAAGCACAACAAATAGCTGACAGATATAATCTTACTGATCATGTTTTTCTAAATTTTTTTTCTTGGGGGACATATAGGAAACTAATTTGTTAAGAGCCTCTCTTGCTGTTGTATTCCCATTTTAATATGTGGTGATTGTAATGTATTTTACTTAAAACTTACTAGGCTCAAATCCCCTTACTTGGACATGGCCCTCCCCTGATGTTGATATGAGGTCATGGGGACCAAACTCAACTCTGGGTTTCAGGTCACAGAGTGGTCTGGGCTGTTGCCTTCATTCCCAGAAGAACAAGCAGTAGCCCTTGAACCTGAGGCAACTTAAGTTCTCCAAAGGTAATGTTTCAGCATGAATTGATGAAGACCAAAAACATGCTGGTGGTCAGAGAAATATCATCTAGATCATGAGAGTGGTGGATATCACCACATAACATCCCAAGGGGTGGTCTACATTCCTCCACCCCTTCCATTTCACTCCATGATTCTTCTGTTAAAGTGCCTTTTGCTGTTTATTTAAACCACATTAAAAAAATTGAGACACATAGAGCTTACTATGTGCCAGTCATGATCTAAGTTCTGTGTTTATGTAATTAACTCATAGAATAAAACTAACCGTATATATGGCATGTACTTTGCCCTTTCACACATGAGGAAAGACAGATGAGACACAGCCAGTAAGTGGCTGAGTTGGGATTTAACCTAGGATTTTAGATCAGTTATCTTATGCTCTTAATTGCTGCTGTCTTTTGTTGTATTGAATACTCATAAATGAGACCATCAAAATAACAAAAGACAGGTTCCACACATAGAAGATATTCCAGAAAGATTAGCTCCTCCAATGTAAAAATGTATTTGCATATGCTTGTGTCTAGGGAGAGCACAGTCCCTTATTGTTTGGGAGTTAGGGTTATAGGTTCATGAGTTAACCAACATGGCTTCAAAATCCTGCCGTCCCTTAGTAGCTGTGTGGTCATGGGCAAGCGATATCACCTCTCTTGCCCTCATGAAAACAAGTGTCACTATCCCAGAAGGTTGCTGTGAGATGGAATACTATGGAAAGTGTTTGCACAATTCTCCATACATAGTTAAGTACTCACTAGATTTTATTGTTGCCTAAATGGAGTGATTTAATATATCCAGCACTCCATGGGGAACATAGTAGACAGTAAGTAAATATTTAAGGAATGACTGAATGAAAGTATGACTTCATTAATTTGCCCAAGTCTGATTTGCCCCAGGGATGTCTGGGGGCCAGAGTGGTTATACAATGTTTTCCGGTTCCCTGAAGGGGCCGGGATGACTCAGCAAGCTCTCCTTCCAGCACTTGACAGTGACATGCTAAGCTGCTTGGGCTCTGTCTGACTTTGACATGATCCCAACTCTGACGCATTTCATGGTTGGAGACACTGACAAACCCAAGTCAGGACAGTGCTAAGGTGCTGATGGTTGCTGCAGATCCGAAAAAATTACAGCTATTTACAATCACTCATTAAATGTAGCACATACAACTTTCTAATGACCAGAACTTACTAAATGAAAGTTATTACTTTTTGAAAATGTACCTGTATATAACAAAGATGGTGTTTACAATGCTATTCCTTTGAAATAACGTAAGGTCCAGGAGTACATTTGGAATAACAAAAATAAAGCCAAAAGATGTGGCTTAGTAGAGCTGTGGGGTTTTGTCTACATGAGTCTAATTTCTTTTAAATTAATAAGTAGGTAAGAAACCAGGTATGGTGGCCCCAGCACTTGGGAGGCTGAGGCAACAGGTTTGCCACAGTTTTGAGGTCAGCCTGGGCTGTGTAGTGAGTTCAAGGCCAGCCTGGACTGCACGGTGAGACCTTGCCTAAAAAAGCATCCCTCAAAAAACCCCAAAAACAAAAAACCCAAAGCAAAACAAAAACATTATGTTATCTAGTATATCCTATTCATCTAAAAAATATTTATCAACTACCAACTCTGTGTTGGATACTGTTTTAGGAGTTAAGGATATACCAATGAACAAAACATATCAAAATGAGGGCTGGGGATTTAGCTCAGTGGCACTGCGCCTGCCTTGAAAGTGCAAGGTCCTGAGTTTGATCCCTGGTACCAAAAAAAAAAAAATCAAAATGATATCAAATAACCAGGCTATACAGTAGAAAATTTACATTAGATTATATTACTTTGATATAACCATAATTTTCTGATAATATAAATTATTAGTCAGCTTTTCTTCACTATTGTAAAATACTGGTTATTGGGTAACTGTATCAGTAAAGAGATTTGTCCCACAGCTTTGGAGGCTGAAAGTCCAAACATCATAGTTTGGGTTCTGGAGAAGGCCCGTCAGGTGGCAGAGTGTGCATGGGAGAAAACACCTTGAACCTGGAAATAGAAAGACAGGGAGGGGCCAGGCTCACTCCTTTATAAGCATCCTTGCAAGTTGAAGTGTCAAGAAGCCATAGGAGAAGTAGCTCAGTCACTTTTGAAGGTACACCCCCCATGGTCCAAGGACCTCCTGCTAGGTCTCATCTCTTAATGATTGCACTGTTGCCCAATATCTCCACCCTGGGGACCAAGTCCTTACCATATGGATCCTTGGGGACACTTGAGCCATAGCCAAACCATGGCATACCATCAAGCTGACACCTAAAGTTGATAACCCAAGGTTCTGCAGTTCTAAGCCCTTATCTTTACTAAGTCGAAAACATACTTAAAACATGTTATTGTGTCTTTTTAAAAAACCGTTAAGTTGTGGCTCAATTATTATTACCTGGTAAAATACGATGTTAAAATCTTTTATAGCTAACAGAGCTAATTTCTCTAAAGCAAGTTTTGGATATGATTTTCTGTGGGCTGTTACTGGTATTCAGTTTAAAAACAAGAAGTATTTTTTCTGCTTAAAGAAGTTAGGAGATGTTCCTCTGTCTCATGTATATGCAAGAATGAAAAGTGACACTCAAGGTTGTGCAAACCTCTTTGATTGTGGAACCCTTTTTCTAGCAGAGCTTTTTGTGGAACAATTGCTTCACCAAACACAGTTTGGAAAAAAAAATTGCTAAGCTTCTTCAATAACTTATTTGCAGTGCATAGAGAAATTAAAGACATGGGTAGGCTGGGTAAGAAAAAGAAAAATTCAACTTTTCATCTGGTTTTGTAAGATCAACAACAGGATAACAAAAATGTTTCTGAGATCATCAGCTTTCTTTCTTGAACAAGGTTTGTATCTGGCACCTGCTCTTCACAGTGGAGAACTCAAGGATTCTTCCCTTTTTCTGCTGAGGCAAATGACAACAAATTTGTTCTTTATTTACTTTATGTAGCTGACTCTGTATGTGGGACTGTCCTTATTTAACAGCTCACATTCAAGCATCTCTCTGGTCAGTCCTTTTCCATTTCTAGGGCTTGTTCAGATCACTAACATTAGAATCAAGGAGATGGTTTCATTTTGTTTTGTTTTGTTTGGAGATAATACATTCACATGGCTCAAAACTTAAGAGGTACAAAAGAGTGAAAGATGTCTCTTTCACTCCAGTTTTCCAAACATTTGTTTCAACCAATGCTGCTAATTTCTGGTATATCCTTCCAGAGAATTTTTTATTCCCATATAAATAACATGTACATATCCATATTCACCTACCCATATGCACCATACATACTTTTCACACCTTTTCCTTTTGTTTTAACAAGTTATATTGGAGATTATAATTATTATGATAATTGCTATGATTTTGCTAATAGTGGGAATCTAACCTACAGTCTCACTCATGTTAAGTAAGCATTCTATCACTGAGCTACAACCCCAGCCCCTGTCCACCCATATATAGTATACATACTTTCCATACCTTTTTCTTTTCAGTTATGTTGGAAGTTATTATTATTATTGTTGTGGGACTGGGGTTGGAACCCGGGGCCTTCTCACTAAGTTACATCCCCAGGCCTTTTTATTTTTTATCTTGAGACAAAGTCTCATTAAAGCTAAATTGCCCAAGCTGGGCTCTTGTGATCCTCCTGTCTCAGCCTCCCAGTGTGCTGGGATTACAGCATGCACCACCACATCCTACTGGGAATTATTTTTGACCAGTCCTTGAAGAGCTTCCACATTCTTTTTCTTTTTTTCTTTCTTTTTTTTTTTGGTACTGGGGATCAAACTTGGGTCCTTGCACTTGTGCAGCAGGCGACGAAACCACTGAGCTAAATCCCCGGCATCACATTCTTTTTCTTTTTTTTACTTTTTTTTTTTTCACATTCTTTTTCTTAATGTGTGTGAAGTATTCCATTGAATAGATGTGCCATAAATTATTTAATTAACACACTTCTAGCTAATATTATTTCCAATATTTTGCTACTGCAAAGATTACCACGAAGAATAACTTTGTCACATACATCAGTTCACATGCTTGAGAGCATATTTTTAGTATGAATTCCTGAAGTGGACTTACTGAGTTAAAATATATATATTAGTAATTTCATAAATATTGTCAAATTACCCTCCACAGGGGTTGTACCAATGTGCATTCCCACCAAAAGTATATAAAAATGTCTCTTTCAGCTCCATCCAGGACAACAGCGCACCCAACTTTTTTTTTTTCGGTACTGGGGATCGAACTCAGCACCTTGCACTTGCGAGGCAGGTGGCAGAACCACTGAGCTAAATCCCTGGTTCCCCCACTTTTTGATCTTTGCCAAGGTAGTAGGTGGGAAAAAAAATCTTAATCTAGTTTAAATTTCAAGTTCATCTCTTAAAG